AGGGAAACCCCCCCCCCCCCCCACCCCCGACAGTCACGTGTACATGTGATGGCAGGGAAGAAAACAGCTAGAACCGAGATCGAAAGTCTTTTTGGTGTAAGCAGGAGGGCTCCTACCAGCAGCATACCCTTGTGTCCCACAAAGGATCTGACTCCACTCCAAGACATACATTTTCAGTTTAAACGAGTGATAACGTAACTAGAGGGAGTTATGGCAGTTGGGCAAGAAATTCATTCATTGGTTACCCCTACATTTTATGTTATGAAAATGGAAGTGGCAAGCCTATTCAACACGTGATTAGTTTTTGGTTGTGAGCAAAAGGTATTTAGACTGTATTTTAGCTTAACCAGAGGAAGGCTGTCAAAACCCCGACAAAGTCAGCTACCTGACCCGACAAACGGAAAGAGAACTTCCGCTGAATTATCAAACTGTTTCAGTTCCTTACCGGCACCTTGTCTTTAAAACCTACGTGAAAGCCTGCAGGTGTTGATTTACAAAGGCGGTAGTCTAAAACAATTCACGGCTACTTTTTCTTCCCTTCACGTTGTAAAGGCTAGTGAGCATCAGTTTTTCTCTTGTAGGGGAACAAAATCTAGCATTTGTTCAGACTACACTTCTGATGAGAAAAACGCCATCACCACTGACCAGACTATAGAGCTTTAAGCTACATTTATTGTCCTTGGTAAAGCACTAAGCAGTGGTACATCGCAAATAGCAAACTGTATGGTTCACATTCGAGAGTGATTCTATTTTACCCGTGAAACAGACTATTAGTGTGCAAAGTGTCAATTAATCAGTGCAAGTGCGTGGTTACAAAAGCAAAGTAGCACCGAAAACGTAACTTCTTTAGGGGATACATTTGCAATCCTACTATCTCTTTCACAGGCTATATTCAATAAGTCTGATCCTACTACTACTGAACACAAAAAGATCTAAAATAATGTGTCAATAATGTGTCCTAATTACCATTATTTAAACTATAATATTTAAAATACTGCATTGTACCTCTTTATAACGTACAAACTAAAATACTTTTTACTCTAATGCCTACTATTAAATGAATTTTAAATGCATTTAAGTATTATAAATGTCTGTGATTACGAATTACTGATAAAGACTCGATTAATTATAAAGTCACTTTGGCGGGACTCAGAAAGTTTCATATTGACATCACGTTGATACAGACACCTCATTGGGAAACTATGGAGTCCATATTAAATAATACACTACCTCTTAAGGAATACAACCAATCAGGAGACTAGAAAGCCATGCTGCATATTAACGGTATATCCACGACCTTAAAGTTTTCCCGCGCAGGTCTTTTTATTGACTTGTAGCTCAGCTCAGATATTGAGAAATCGTTCAAACATGAAAGAAAAACCAAACTGTTCCTCCAATTAAAAAGCCATGGGAACAGAAAATCTGATGTATGAGGGGGAAAACTCTACACAGATCTCGAAGAATCTGGCAAACAGTGCCCGAAAACCCAAGAACAGTTAGGAAATAAATAGAAAAATCTGAAACAAGATTTCTAAACGGGGCAGCTTAGCAGGTAAAGTTGAAAAGCTTCACAAGCTTTCATGTAAGGTTATGTTCATTGAAACTTTACCTTTTTTGTAAGTCTTCAATATTAAATAAGGATGTAGTACATGTCATGACTAGACAAACAAGACAAAAATTTATCTCAAAACACACAGTGAAATGAAGTTGAAATAGTTTTATCATGTTTTCTGGTGTCATATGTGACCGTTAATACCAGACTCGCTACTTGACGTTTCTTTGTATGCACAGTCACCTCAAGCCTTGTGTGTCTACAGAAACCATGGCACTGATGGGATACTTCAGGGCATACCATTCATCTCATGACAATGCATAACTAGTATTGACTGTTCCACTAAAACTTGTAACAAATTAAATGCAGCAGCAGTTAATAATAAATTAATTGTAATAAATTAAATGCAGTATTCTGTTAATATTAAGCAATTACTTTACAAAATACAGTCGAACCTCCAGTTGCGACCACTTCTCCTCAGCAACCAGTTTTCCAAAATACCGAAAGTTTCCAAGTCAAATCACTATATTTGGAACCTCTTGTAAGTGACCACCCTTCATAAGCGACCGCGGCCACTTTTGAAGCTAGAAGTTTGAAATTTTCTTGTTTTTAAACTCCCGTAAGTGACCACTTGATAGAAAATAGAGCAGAAATTGGATAATAAGGTGTTGTAATATTATCGCATTCCTTGGTAGTACAAGAGACAGAAATTTCTCATTGGGAAGTACCGAATTTTTTTCTCGAAATTGACTTTTTACATGAATCAAAAATTTAAAACTTTAGAGAAAACTGCACATACACTGTACTCTATCAGTCTTAAAAGAGACGACCTTATAAAAATGTCTTATAATTACAGACAATTAGAATCACCAGCAATATAATAGGGCTGTCAAATTTAAAGCTAGCAATTTCCAATCCTTATCAGTTGATGTTCAGTTGCCCCTAACGTTTAGAAAACATTAAAGATCCAATTTGTAACTATCGTGAGACTCTTACCGTTCTCCTTATTAAGTAGTTTAACAGAGTGACATTCTGAATAAACACATTGGAAAGCATAAATATTTTTGTGGCCACAAAAAGTTATAAGTTGGGTTAGATGAGCGTTAACGCATGGGTAAGTCTCTACAGCTACTAGATGCTAATGAGGCACAATATTGACCCAATATGGTCTAAGCTCTCATAAGCGACCACCTCCCGTTAGCGACCAACTAGGCTTGACATTTTGGGTGGCCGCTTACAGGAGGTTCGACTGTAATTGTAACTAATATTGTAGTCTTACTGTACAAACAGCTGCAAAAGAGTTGAGAAACTTCTCAAACTTGTCCTCACTGTAAAAATAAGCAGATCATTTCCGAGCCCCCTTCCCTTTTCTATTTAGTTGATATAATAAGTTTAAGTACAGTGCTAAAATTCAGACAACACTGATAAGGAAGAGAAAGGACACACTAGGTATCAATGTATAACATTTCTAAAATGATGCTCTTAACCAGTGACTGTGTCAGTTCTCTTTGAAACTGAGTGTACAGTGTAGCTTGGTACTTGTACTGGACAAAATGTACAACATATTCTTGTAAATGTACCTGTGTTTTTGTTTTCTTCCATTGCTGGAAGCACATACATGTACATGCACAGTGTGACTTAATTCCTACAGTGCCTTTAGGCTCCTACTAGAGCAAAGGGTGTCTATGCAGTGTAGTACATGTAAGTTAAAATTGGCAACCTAATTTGCAGCTAATAAGCCCAAGGCCTAAATGCAATTACGTCCACTAGACATGTACATGTACATACATAAATACAATCAAGACTAACCCAGGAAATTCATACAAACATACACCAAAGTAATAGATAAGGCCTCATTCACACTAGCAACATACATAACAACACAAGAAGGATGTTATGTTGTTGTGTTTGCAGTGTGAACATCCTGACGTAATGAAATATAGCAACATAACAGCGTGAACATAACGACATACGGAAAAAACTGATCTTTTCCTTATGCTTTTATGATGATGTTCACATTGCAATGTAAGTATTATGTCGTTCTGTCACTATCTCATTATGTTATTTATGTCATTTCTTCACTACTGTGAACTCATTACCTAGTTTATCTCATCATGTCGCCAATGTGAACTAGGCCTAACCAATATACTGTATCTGAATCGAGCCATATTGACGTTAAGTTTTACATGTAAACTGTGACTGTAAAAGAGTCCTTTTCAATCAGTCCAATTACATGTGGGTTTTCTGAAAATGCTATCCACAGAATCAACATTTCCTATTATAATCAACGTATGCAACAAATTTGTTTTATTTCTTGTTTATAGGCTAGTACAGTTATTTGTTCTTGGTCTTATTTTAAAATACTGGCAAAAATGTCACTCGCAATTAATATAATTTTGGAATGCAGCAAAACCCATCTATATGTATTATTTCAAAGGCTTGTAATATGTATTTAGAGAAGATTAATTAGTTTCTATCTGTATTTATGTTTCCTATACCATTGTAAACCATCTTACGTTAAGTTGTTTTTACTGTAAATAGTGTGCGATGATAAAAAAAAACCGAAAACCGAAGTGAAATATTTGCCAGAAGTTCCATGGAATGCCCTCAAAACTCATGATCTAGTAAAAGAAAATGACTGCAATGATAAACAGCAAAAAGTTGCCAATGATAGAGACTGCTATTGTGCTGGCTCCAGTTGTGTGTGGGTCATTGTCAATAGCCTCCACCATAGGTTTTTCCCTTGGTTGCTTAAAAAAAGCAACCTCTTCAAATCCTTTATGTGTATGTTTTTCCATTCCATTTGTAGTATCATTAGTGTAATGGTAAGCCCACACCATCCATCTACTGCCAGGCTAAAAAGAATGAAAAGCAATGCTTAACGCCAGACATCTTGATCAACAGGGCTCTTAAATTTAACACAACTTTGTGCTTGAGATAAACTACATGTACATGTATAGTTATAAATGGCAACACTCTGTGTTCAATATGGTATGCGTGTGATGAAACAAAGAGCAACTTGATTAGAAGCTTTGGCCATTGTCAAAGATGTGGGGATGAAAATACAAAAATATAAAGGAGAACTTGTAAGCATTCCTGTCTGCTCAGTTTCAAAACCTGTTGGCGCATTGTTTAGATCACACAAGTACCAACAGGCTTTTAGCACGGATTTGAAAATGGGTGTCCAAAATGTACTATAGGGCCTGCTCAAATGAACAATTTACAAGACAACATATCAAAAATAAAACAATTTTCTTTAATAAGTAGCCATCCACAGGACACCTGGACACCCATCTGGGAAAACACCCAAGTACCAATGAAGTAAAAAAGGTGAGTTCTTAAAAAGTACGTTATTGCACAGTCATAATGCATTTTAGCCCTACCAAGTTAATGCTCAAGACTGCTTTTCCCTTGTTAACACATTACAATGAACTGGTAAGTATGGGCATTCAACGATGAACTTAAATTACTCCCTCAGACAGTGTTTTCAAACCAAGCAGGCGACCACCAGAGTTCCACTGCCTACTTGACGATACATTGCCGGCTCCCCCCTTTAGCAATCAGCTTGCAACACCCTAATTTTTCAAAACTTTAAGGTGGCTCTGAAGCCCATGTACAGATTTTTTAAAACTTTGCCAAAAGTTGCATCTCATCATGCTTATTAAAATTTGATAATATAAAACAATTTCACCATGCTGTTTTTGAACTATAAGCCCCTTAAGCTGTAATTAACGGTGATTTTAGAGAGTCATACTGTTGCTATGGTAACCTATTGTGTCACAAAAATGATAACAATGTGTTCACCAATGATTGGGCAGTTTTTTGATACCATGATTGTAGCATCAAGTGATAATGAGTGGTTATACTGACCCATCAAAATCTAACTGCTGGAAACTGTTTTGAGCCACCTCAAGGTCATAATCCTAAGCTTCAATTTAATGTTATAAATGAAAAATGTGAGATTTGGAAATGTTTTAAATGATTTTCTTTTTTACAATTTCATCTCAGACAAACATGTGTTACGAGGATTTATTTAATTTTCATGCCACTCTGTAAAGCAAGATACACTGTAACATGGTGGCTAATATAAATCTTTGCTTCCTTGACTAGTTTTCATTAAATTAACGCAACCTAAGAAAATCAATAAAGTTATACCAATGAAAGATCTATATCTAACTCTGAATGCTTAAAATGGCATTTCCTAGCTTTTATATTGTAGATTAAAAATTTTCTGGGGGAGTGGGGCATTCCCCTAGACCCCTAGAATGAGGGGCTTTGCAGCCCCTAACTTGTCATAGCCGCCTACTTCAAAACATTTTAGAACACCTGCTCAGATATCAAGTTCAGCCCTGCTATGGGAAGCAACTTGGTGAACTGCTAAACTTAGTGCCACAGGAATAGAATGGAATGGAATAGAAGTGCAGAGCAAAACAGAGCAGAATAAAAACGAAACGATTAGAATAGAATTTCTAGGTGCATTGGTGCTAGTATTAGGCACAGTTTTGTTTCCTGGATATACTGCACCTATACATGATCCTCTACACATGTAGTCAAATGCATACAATGACTACTAAACAAAGGAAGTACAATGGTTGTTCCTTTGTTTACCACTACACAAGGACAAATTTCAAGATTGTGCTATACTTTATACTGAAACTTTGCTCATTGGCCATGGTTCGTGTCATTGACAAGTCTTTTAACACAACATAGGAAGAGAGAGCTGGAGAATATTTCATGTTCTGATCTAAGGCTCCAGTCAGGGTATTTTGAGATGATTGGTCTATTTACAAGCTGTACCTACCCCAATGACATTGTCATCAATGTCATCAGTATCTTTCTTCCGATTGAATTCCATAGTTGTCACACCGTCAATTTCAGTTATCTTTGTAACATTCCAGTCTTGCTTTTCATCCACCTCTGGGGCCATATACCCTCTAGTCATACAATCCTTCAAAAAAGAATATCAGGGATTTAATCCTGAGATGAAGACGTTTAGGTTATCCGCTAACGGCTACCAGGCAAATTGGGAAGCAGTAATAACAGTTCCAGAAGCAATTAAATATTTTAAAACCAGAAAAAGCAACCGCTTAAGAAATGTTAACTGTCGATATTTGGTTCTTTTTGTTTTGTAGTGGATGAATTCTCCCAGCTTCGCATACATACATTCACAATCGGTTGTCCCAAAAAACTACAACCACTGACAAAATTATTTGTGATGGAAAATGCCAAAAACATTAACCCGTAACCCTTATTACCATAAAACCTTGAATTAGCGCCCCCCCTTCGAATAAGCGCTCCCTTCAAATAAGCGCCCCCCCTCTATCGGCCAAAATTTTTCATTTATAACATAAAAAATTTTTTCCCGAAAACTAAGCGCAAATCAACAAAAACAATTATGCAATGATGCTTTTCATGTCAAAACAAGTCAGTCTGCCAAAATTTAGCTCAATCCTGCAAAAAAATAAAAATCTGCTCAAAATGCCATATAAGCCCTTTTTGCAGGAAAGCCTTTGTTTATTAGTCATGATCAAGATCCCTAACAATATTCTTTGTAAAACTATAGTATTAAAAAGTGTAGTCAAAAGCGAGCTTGTTTTGCTTTTAAAGAGCAAAAGCAGCGCTCACACGCGTCGTAACTAATGAAGAACACTCGAATGAGTTCTGATTGGCTCAGAGTTGAGTGGTTCAGTACACCATATTGTTTTCCAAATGATTTGTAAAAGTGTTGTTTCACGATTTAGTGTTGCTTTATTTCAACAGTTTTGTTCTTCATTAATATTCATATTTTTGATTATCCGAACCCTTGATTATCTGGACTATTTCGTCTAGTGCAACAGGTCCAGATAATCAAGGTTCAACTGTTTGCATGAAAGCCCACTTGAAACGTGTCAAGATTACACGGTAAATAACTCATGACAATCTTTTTGTCCTCCACTGGTGAAAAGGCCAAGAGGCAGGTGGAGTTTCATGTGAACTAAACTTTGCGTTGCGATGTATTGAAAGGATTTACAATTTTTTGTGTCAAAATAGCGCTGTGATGTGAGGAGTAAAAGGTTTTTTTGGAGATAATTTTGTTTTTGTGACCTTTCACCTCTATCTGGGTGTTCAATTAGATAGCAGATTATGTTGGAAAGAATACTTTCTACATGAATCAAGTTAATGTCCAATGGCACCAGCAAGGCTAATAAGACAGAACTTTTGGTCCTGTGACAAGAAAGTTAAAACGACTTTCTATGAAACAGTGGTAAGACTCAAACTTGAGTACGCATAGTCAAGCTGAGACTAGCAATACAAAAGAGTGGAAGTTGTACAGAGATCTGCTGCACATTTCTGTACAAGTGATTACCAGCACACTTCAAGTGGCACTGACTGGCACTGGAATCCCTGGAAACGACAAGGAAGTTAGGCTGACTAGTGATGATGTATACAATTATCCACAAACTTGTCAACATGAGTGTGTTTAACTACATGTATCTGCAATTCTCCATGGAAACATGAACCAAAAAAACAGCCATAGGATGCTCTTTAGCTCTAACAACATTTTTAAATTTTCCTTTTCCCCAAGAACTTCAAGGGACTGGAACCAGCTCTCAGCTGTTAGTGTGATGCCTCATCAACTTTACTAACTCAAGAAAAAAGAAAAGGTGAATACCAAGTGACTTCTGAACTTCAGGCTTCTACATTGAATTATGCACTTTGCTTTGGTATATCACAACATACCAAACCCTAGGATTACAAATTGTATCTGTAACACTTTTTTCATTCCATGTCCAGTCTTTCTAGTTATCTTGGGACATGATCAGTAACAGATGTTTACATCAAAATTCCAAGCTTGATTTGGACACAAGTAAAATAAAATAAAAACAGCATCAAGAAAATGAAACTAACATAAGATGCATGTACTGAGTGGCATGTATCTTACCTAGTTAAGTAAGTTCATAAATGATGCAATGTTCTCCACGTTGGTCTCAAAATCAGTACTTGTAAAATTATCTGTTCCCACATTTGATTATTATGAGTGAATTTTCATACTTCTTCTTCACGGTGGATGCCAAGTAAATGGATTGCTGGGATAAAAACCAGTAATATTGTAGCTAATACACCCTATCAGACGTTCATCCCCATCCTAAATCTGCCCCAGACTGCACTGTACAGACTTGGCGATGAACTTTGTGATTAATACAAGATGGTGAACAAGTGAAGTGAAACAAGGTTTTACTTTCATAATTATGTGATAGGGGTGCTAATCAAAGGAATTTCTCTACTTTTTGAGAGAAACAACTCTTATCAAACAAATTCTGATCAGCAAGGCTGAAGATGTCCACGGTTCCATTCAATCCAGGCTTATAGCCAAGATTTGATGTCTGGACACCCGTCTGGCTAAAAGTCTGGTTCAGTCTGAATCATGGTAATGAGTACTGGAAACAATCATTACCATGAAATCCTCAGGCTTGACCTACTGTAACACAAAGCATTTGGTGCCAAGTCTGTTCCAGGAAATTATGGAGAACGCAGATTGGACAATTTGTAAATTGCAAAACCAGAACATTTTTGTTTAAAATTACTTGGTTTTTCTGTCTGAAGATCAAATACCATCAGGAGGGTTCAATGATCATTTTTATAGAAATCGATCTTTGAATCTCTCACTGCCAAGTATGTAGTTGTTTTTTGAACAACCATACCTGTGAGTCAAGATTTTTACAGTCTAGCAAAGCTGGGGAGACTGTTTTGGTTGTAGCTACATGTACATCAGTGAGACCGTAAGGAATGTGCAGGTGCATTATTTTGTGGAACATTCAAACACATGCAATGACTCTGAACCTGCCTATCACCTAAACAAGAATCCTTTACATTCTTTTAGCTGGCACATACTCTGACAACCCAATCTTTTCACAAGCAAAGAATCCTACAGGGCCTAATGATCCAACAATGGCAACCCAGCATGTAGAAATATTTATGGCATAATTAAAGAAACAATACTCAGTTCTATGCCAGAAACAATCCAGTTCAGCAATTTCCCCCCTTTGAAAAATGTAGACTCCTTCACACTCTAAGGGGCATTATGGGTGATCAGGGCAAATTTACAAAGAAGAAAGGATGTAAAACATACATTGTTCTTTACATTTCTCTTCTGATTTCACATTTGGAGACGAAACCTAAACTGTAGATGGAGAAACCCCTTTTCTAGGTTTACCAGCGTTTTTAAGCTGATCAAGTGATTGTTGTGGGCGTAGGAATTTTTTTTTACAGTTAAATCTCAGCCACTCAAGCCACATCTCTGATACTCTGATAAGCAGGCTAATGCCTACCTCATTCAACTCAAAAACGCTTCATAAATGTAGAAAAGGGGTTTCTCTATTTACAGTAAAAGTTTCTTCTCAAACCTTAAACTCAGAACAGAAATAAGAAGAAAAACTTGTCTTTTGCTGCTTTGTTTCTTCGCTGTGGCTACATGTCCGGCAGCTGGACAGGTTTTTTAAAATACTCTGTGTCCGGCAGTGAGACTTTTTTCATAAAGTAAAACAATGTAAAAAGATCTTTAAGCCAGGCGACCCCAACAGGAATTGAACCAGGGTCGCCAGCATGGCAAGTGATACCCATGACCACTGTGCCATGGCAACCGACCGGCAGCTTTGAAATTTTTTAATTATTTATAGAGTTACTCTTAGCATTATTGAAAGCTAACCGGAGTGCTATTCAGGCTAACCGGAGTGCTTTTTAGGCTAACCCAAGTGCTGAATGACTGAATGTAGACTCCTTCACACTCTAAGGGGCATTATGGGTATCAGGGCAAATTTACAAAGAAGAAAGGCTGTAAAACATACATTTTTCTTTACATTTCCCTTCTGATTTCACATTTGGAGACGAAACCTGCTAACCCGAATGACTGCCGGTCATTTTATAATAGTACAAACATATCATTCAAATTGAAACCCTTATGGCCTTACCTATAATTTTAGTTCTGCAATAGTTTGGACATGATGTCTACCAACTTTGACATATGTTTGATCTTTCTCTGGTATTTTTAAACCAGTAATTTTTTTCATTCCTGTCAGTTTTTCAGTAGAATTTCAGATGCATCAAGAAAGAATTTTCTAGCGGTTTGACAACAAAATTTGGCACAAGCTTTCATTGTAGAACTTTTCTGGCATTGATAGCCATTTAAATGCTTTCGGCAAACAAAACGTGAAAGCTTCATTAAATCTCTGCTTGTGAAGTCTTACATACAAAATCCTATTGTTCTAAAAACATTAAAGGTACTAGTTTTTCCGAGCTTTAATAAAGGAAGTTTCATCAAATATTGGTAGCCTTTGATGAACTATGTATTTCAGTTCCCGC